TTTTAATTTGCATATAATAATTAAAAGTACGTTACATCAAGTGCACAGATAGTGTGTACTGTACCTACATATATACCATCTGGTAAAGTTACTTCAAGGTCAGTATTTTCTTACCTACAAGAAAACGCGAAAAGACTACCTCAGAGAAAACAGTGGTGCTAGTGTGATGTTTGTACTTTTAACCAAATACAGTATATTATCATCATCTTTCCACTAGTAAAAGATTGTATTAATTCTCCTACTAGTGAAAACGTATTTGTTAACACAGGTTAATGTGCTTAGCACGTGTTTGGACGGATGTACTTATGTGACCTGAAAAATAGATAGAGCTCAACTCAGCCCAGTTTGAATCAAGGTTTCCCTACCTTTCAGTGTGTTTCTCGGGTCTTTTGATGCTCCCAAACTGATGCCTCGTCGCTGATCTTCCTTTTGGTCTTGATTTGTTTGGTGATGATTGCTGAAGCATTCAATTAATTGTACTTTTGCCATTCTCATTCTACACTTCATGCATGGTTCATAGATTGTTACAAACAAATCGTTTTACCTGTCTACATTGGATCTATCGTAACTACGCTTGTCAAATTAGCAACTTAATATTGATGTCTTCAATTGGCCTGCTTGGTGAAATAATGTTGTTCACTGCTTTTCTGTTATTATACTTAATGTGTGTCCTTGCCCGGGTCACATACTGTTGAGTGGACACTGTTGACGTGAGAAAAGTTTTTACATGTTGTGGGCAGTGTTAGTCATGGCAAATTAGTTAAAACTACTCACCCTTCTAGCTCTCACTGTTCCCCACAGCTTCACCGTGTACAAGACACGATGGTGCAGAGTTTGTTTCGTCTCCAGAGTCTCACATCTGGTCAGGGCCTTGCCGTACATTGCAGCTGCCTTGGAGAACTGGGATAGTTTGGATGTTTTCTTGCCTTTCTCAAGGTAGAAATCTCCTAGAGATTTGAGAACCTCAACCTCTAAGAACGTGTCACCCTTGCCGATTGCAGTTACTAATGTGTCTGTGTAGGACTCCTCAACAGATTGCCAGAGTTTACCTACTCCTCTGGTTAGTTTATTGCAAGTTTCTACCATTCTTAAGACATTACTGTCATTAGTACCCAAGTAATCTGGTGACAACCACTGATATTGTGGAGTGTATCCCTGCAGAAGTTGTCTGGAGAGTTTCTCCATGTAGTCAATTCGATGACCAAGTGTTTGTCCCATGTCTGGACCTTTGCAGCGCAATAGGGCAGTAGCATACAGAGTAACAGCCTTGTCAAACTCTGCTGAATCCTTTCTCTGCTTGCCTTTCTGAAGGTGCAGGTCTCCAAGACTTTTTAAGACTTCTAACTCCATAAAGAGATCCATGGAAAGAATGGCGTCTCTCAGTGCCCGCCCATACCCGACTTCGTGACCATGCTGACTCTTGAGGAACAACTCCAAGTCCTGCAACTTGTCTGCCAAGCTAATTGTATTCATGTCAGACATTTTCCGTGATGATTTTTGCTCCAATGATCGACCTTTGGAGAGAGGAGAAATCCATTTGGACATTTTCATTACTTAGACCACACCGTCAGAAAGATTACCGTTTTTTAGGCGGGCCAATTATTTCAGGCATTCTGAAAGATTTGGTCCGCCTGAAAAAAAACGGTCCGCCCCTCTGATCATTTAGATGGTGTGGTCTAAGTTAGTAATTCGATTTCATTGTTTCATTGTTCATTGTTAAAGTTTACCTGGGCCTTAATATAGCAAAAGAACAATTCTTGTAAGACATAATGGGGCAACATTGCGATTTTGAGAAGGGGGACAGATTATTTCAGGAGTTCTAAAAGGTTTGGTCCCCCTGAAAAAAAAAACGGTCCGCCCCTACAACACTTTAGATTGAGTTGTCTTATGGTCATTAAAATCAGTTTCTTATTGATGAGACAAGTCTACATTGGTAATGATATGGTAAAAGATCAAGTTTAAATGTCAGTAACGGTAAGTGATACTTATTGTTTTAAACATAGAAATTAATGATCACACATGTCAATATGATGTAGGTTTAGCGGCTTAGCTGTATGTCATAGAAATAAACAACGAGGTATCTCAGCGTGTACTTTGTGTGAAAATATTAAGCATTTGATATTGTGGGCCATCGTCCGTTTTGTGCCACGTCCACTCCCTGTTGCCACGCCCCATATATGGTACCCGGAGCGAATTTTTAGTCGGACCAGAATTTTTAGAACACCTGTTCCGACCACTCTGTCGTGGTTGTGTTGTTGCATAACCTTCGTATTTAGAACAGTCTTACTAATGATAAATGATACGATTGACGCAGTTGTAGTACTTCATAATAGCTGTTATTGTTCCAATATGTACTGTACGCCTGGGTTACTTACTTCAATGTTGTCAAGTCCACGTTGTCCTCGGTACTGCTATGAGTGGTGAAAGAGACCGGTCTTGATCGGATGGAAGCCCTCCCCCCACCATCAGGCTACAAGTACAGTACAGGTACAGACTGGTACAGAAAAAACGGAAGTCCACAGGTGTGGTCGAAAGCTGTTGTTTACATGTTTCGCTTGGGGGCGTCAGTCGAGATTGGATACTGTTGGAAATACCCCGTATAGAGAACAGTCTTTTGATACCCTAGGCGCAGTTGAAGTACTTATTAAGCTGTTACTATTTAACATAAACACTGTTGAAAAGAAAACATATCGAGAACAGTCTTCCATTCATGATAGGCTAGTTGCAGTACTTACGAAGCTGTTGTTGTTGTATATATAAACACTACTGTACATACATGTATGGGACGGGTTGCTTACTGCAATTCCTTAACAGGTCCGCCTTGCCCTTGGAACTGCTGAATGTGAGGAATAGTGGTGCTGGTCCGTGTGGAAACTCTTTAACGGCTTCAATATTGTACCGACCGGTACATATGCAGGTAGAACGGAGCAGGTAACTCGTACAGGTGAAACAGGAAGTCCCTAGCTAGGTCAGCTCACACCTGTCGTACCGCGCAGGGCCGTCTGGGAACGGGGATTCCACATTACAAGGGCGATTCTCCGTTCTTCTTCTTCGTTCATCCGCGCCTGACCAACCCAAGAGCTTTTATGGGCGGGTCTGGGTCAGGCCAGGGGCCTCCCACCGCGTCTGGAGCCGAAAGCTTGGGGTGGGAATGGGCGCCCGCTAATGGCGGTCGCCTCAGTGCATAGTCAACTTTTGGCTTCAGACGACTATTTCCGCATAACTTAATACCGGAAGTCCATGGCCGCGCATAACAAAAAGGATAGTTTCTAGTAGCCTGAGTCAGTGTCACCAATGGGGAGAGGATCTTGGGGAGCGGACGAAAGCTAACAAGGCTGACACTCAGGCTAACTTTTTAGACCAAGGAGCTAGCTTTAAAATGTTTGGACTCAGAGATACAAAAGGAGAGAATATTCAGAACAGGGTTGAAGATCCAATAGGCAGTGACTAGGTAAATAATCTTATGATTCTAGGTTAAGTAGGGAAACCCTCTTCAGCTGGTTACACAGTAATACATGTATGCCTCGCTACGTCAAATGGGCTAGCAAGCGGACACGAGATCAAGCGGTCATGGGTTCAATTCCTGGCGAATCCCTAGCCTCTACCAGGCTTCGGGAGGAGGATGAAAAGAGTAGAAATTGGCCAAATAGAAAATCACTAGAGACTCGAGAAACCTTTGGCAAAAGTTTTTTTTTTCTTCACATGGCGTCATTTGTTTGACATAACGCTAGATTTCCTTAAGGCCATGTTGATTTGATTATATGGATGACATCCTCTGGGAACCCCAAAACTGATGCGCGCGTGCGAATAAAAAAAAGTTTGCAAAAAAAAAAAGTTGCTTTCATTATGAAATCTGTGTGGTCATGAAGGTTGAAAAAATAACACAGAGTATGGTTTGGTGAATAATCTACTCTTTAAATTCATTTCTCTTTACATTTTCGTCTTTTTTGTTTGATTTTGGCATTTTGCGACATTGGTATCATTTTTGAATATTCTTTTTACAACTTACGGTATATATTTGCTCATTTTGCAACTGTTTTGTACGATTTACAGTATGGTTGAAAACTTTTTTTTTTGGAAACGGCCGAAAATTCATGCGCGCGCGGATGTCATCCATATAATCAAATCAACATGGCCTAATCTAAAAAAAAAAGTTGTTTAAAAAGGCAAATGCGAAAATTGAAAATCAAGACCCAAGTGAAAAGTATTTTGCATTATTTGTATGCATTAAGTTTGGGTAAATCACAGTGTATAACTATGGGTACATTAGAGTTAAATTGTTAGGACTATTTTGTTTTAAAAATGAAACTGTATGTCAACAGATTGAACATTTAGCATCAGTTATCCACATCAGTTCAACATACATAGTAACATACTTAACATAACGGAATACATGGAGGCTTCTGTTCTAGAAAACAAAGAAATGGGGCAAGATGACTGAAGAAAACAAGCTATATGAGATTAAAAATTAAAATATTATGTGTCTGACAATTTGAACAGGTACATACTATTATAGGACATCGTAGCTTTTGGTGCTGTCATCTATCAGATTATACATGTAGAATGGTTACATGTACATGTAAGTACACGTAATGCAAATAAATTTGATGTTCCACTCTGTCGGTCTGCACGTCACAAGAACTCACCAATTCCTTTTTTGGTTGAACCGTTAAACGCCAAGTAATCAATATAGTACTTGCACTCAGACTTCACTTATCTATCGTGTCTGCAGTACCTTGTACACTGAGTGACCCAGCGGCACAGACGTCTTCTCTTCTGTGTGTTATGATATATTTTAATTTGTAATGTTATGTAATGCATTATACTTGTAAACGAAAGCGCATTTCACTTAAAATATGATTGTCTGTAATCTTATTAACGTTTCCAGAATATTGTAATGAGCAACACAATTCAGAATTAAGTCTGCGAGTTGTTTAATAAAGACTGAATTGAATTGAATGTAAGTCTGTTTTTTTTTTCCCGTCACTTAAATTTTTTTAATGAAAAATCTCAAAACCAACAAATTTAAATTGGTGTGGCTCACAGTGGAGTCAGGCTGATAATCTTTGTCAGAACAGGAGACAGAGTGGATGTTTTTACTGTCTTGAGGTGCAGACAGGAGTTCCAACATGTTTTATATCATCAGATTACATGATACATTGTAGACCTGATGATGAAGATTAAAATATTATGAAAATGAAATTATTCTTATGTGTATGTTTTTTGTGTGTGTTTTCAATTGATAGAACATTGTCATTATTTGTATGTTAGAGAATAGACACGTGAAACCAGTGAGCACAGTTTGAAATATTTCCCACCTATATTCTTCTTTCAGATACATTCTGGGGTACAAAAGTAGCAGCTGATGTCACATGACATCTACACGCTTTTAAGATATTATTAGGCCTTCGAAAATAAGTTGTGTTTCCTGTTTCAGTCCTGAAAAAATATTTTTTTAGATTTTTGCTATTTCTAGTGATCCAATTTGAACAATATTTGGTAAGTACATTGTAATACCAAGTAAAACTTGCATGAGGACACCCTTTCAGCAACAAGGACAGGGAAAATACATTAGGCCAATGTAGTATCCTTTCGGCACCAAGGACAGGGAAAACACGCATTTGGTCAATGTAGTATTCTTTCAGCACCAAGGGCAGGGAAAACACACATTGGGACAATGTATATGTAGTATCCTTTCAGGTGGATTGATTGCAATTAACTTTGGTACATGTGTAGTTGATGTGTGCCTTTGCGTTTTCAAAAAAATGCAGTGACTGCTTGGACAGGCAGTTTCCTTTCCATGGCCATTGGAATATCGTTAGGTTCCAGATCGGTAGGTGTCAGATTGTGCTTTATTTCTTTCTTGTATGATCTGTGTCATCCTCCTTGCCTGATCACGATAGTTGTCAGCCTTTCTGTGATTACCAAGGTAGCCCCAAGTGACAGCCAAGTTGTTCAGTGGCATTACAATGTCAGGATGTGCATTACTTTCCCCATAGATTCTCTGCCTCATCTGTAGTGACTGTTCATAATAGCTGACAGCTTTTCTGTAACCACCAAGATCACCACAGGCCTTGCCCAAGTTATTAAGTGAGTCGGCAATGTCAGGATGGTCAGTGTTCTCCCAATAGATATTCTGCCTCATCTGTAGTGACTGTAGATGATAGCTAAAAGCCTTTTTGTGATCACCAAGTTCCATACAGGCATTGCCCAAGTTATAAAGTGATGCGGCAATGTCAGGATGGTCAGTGTTCTCCCCATAGATACTCTTCCTCATCTGTAGTGACTGTTCATGATAGCTAAAAGCCTTTTTGTGATCAGCAAGTTCCATACAGGCATTGGCCAAGTTGTTAAGTGATTCAGCAATTGCAGGATGTTCGGTGTTTTCCCCATAGATACTCAACCTCATCTGTAGTGACTGTTCATGATAACTGACAGCACTGTTGTGATTTCCATGTTTCCTACAGGCATTGCCCAAGTGGTTAAGTAAGTGAGCAATGTCAGGGTGTTCGGTGTTTTCCCCAAAGATAGTCTTCATCATCTGTAGTGACTGATTATGATAGCTGACTGCCTTTTTGTAATCACCAAGTTCCATACAGGCCGCGCCCAAGTTACTAAGCGATTTGGCAATGTCAGGATGTTCGGTGTTCTTCCCATAGATACTCTGCCTCATCTGTAGTGACTGTTCAAAATAGCTTTCAGCTTTTCTGTAATCACCGATTTTGTCAAACACTGCGCCCAAGTTATTAAGTGATGCGGCAATGGCAGGATGGTCAGTGTTCTCCCCATAGATACTCTGATTCATCTTTAGTGATTGTTCATGATAGCTGACGGCCTGTTTGTAATCACCAAGTTTCATACAGGCATCGCCCAAGGTGGTGAGTGAGTAGGCAATCAAAGGATGTTCAGTGTTCTCCCCATAGATACTCAACCTCATCTGTAGTGACTGTTCATGATAACTGAGGGCATTTTTGTGATCTCCAAGTTTCATACAGGCAGTGCCCAAGTTGTTAAGTGAGTAGGCAATGTAAGGATGTTCAGTGTTCTCCCCATAGATACTCAACCTCATCTGTAGTGACTGCTCATGATATCTGACAGCCTTTCTGTAATCACCGAGGTCCCTACAGGCCACGCCCAAGTTGTCAAGTGCTGAGGCAATGTCAGGATGTTCGGCGCTCTCCCTATAGATATTTTTCATCATCTGTAGTGACTGTTCGTGTATGCTAATGGACTTTTGGTAATCACTTAGTCTACCATAGGCCGAGCCCAAGTTGTTAAGTGCTGAGGCAATGTCAGGATGTTCGGTACTCTCCCCATAAATAGTCTGCATCATCTGTAGTGACTGTTCATGATAGCTGACGGCCTTTTTGTAATCACCAAGTTCCATACAGGCATTGCCCAAGTTTGCAAGACTTCGTGATGTTGCAATGTCAGAATGTTCGGTGTTCTCACCATAGATACTCAACCTCATCTGTTGGGACTGTTCATAATAGCTGACAGCTTTTCTGTAATCACCGAGGTCACTGCAGGCCACGCCCAAGTTGTTAAGTGTGTTAGCAATGTCAGGATGGTCAGTGTTCTCCCCATAGATAACCCTCATCATCTGTAGGGAGTGTTCAAAATAACTGACGGCCTTTCTGTAATCACCGAGTTTGCTATAAGCATTACCCAAGTTGATAAGTATGTCAAGTCTGTCGGTGTTCTCCCCATAGATACTCTGTGTCATCTTTAAGGACTGTTTATAATAACTGGCGGCTTTTCTATAATCACCAAGTTTCCCCCAGGCATGACCAAGGTCGTTAAGAGACGTAGCAATGTCATTATGTGGATTCCCTTCACCATATCTAGATCTAGCACTCTGTAGTGCCTGTTCTGAACATGTCTTACAGTTTTCATAATCACACAGACTTCTGTATATCTTTGCTTTCACTCTGGAAGAGTCGTCAAATAGAATTGATGATTCCTCTGTTGAATGACCGTTGGCAAGCTTTGAAATAAAGTACTTTGTTGGCCTTTCTGTGTAATAGTATCTCATGAGCTGTTTAGCCTTTGAAAAGTAAAACACCTTCCTTAATGTCTCCCCAATTGCAATGTGTGTATCTGTTGACATTGATGACAAGGCTGACATGCTTTCAACCTGGCCTCCATTACTCATATATGTCCGCAGCCTCAGTTCTGCAGAGATGCTCACCATCACCGTCAAGTGGTGTGCATTCTCACGATTGATGGCGCCAATCTTCTTCAGATTCTCAATAGTGTCCCAGATTTTTGTCGGTTGTATGTTATGAAGTAGCGCTAAACAAGACACTGCAAGACTTGAAAATCGATACATTTCTTTTTTTACATCCATCAACCTACCGGTTTTCTCATCGTTCTCAAATATTGGTGCATTTTCACGAAGATGTGTTAGTGCTAATATGCCAGGAATTATCCCTCCGTGATTTTCTTGCAGTACATGAGTCCATAGAGCGATATACACATCAACCAACTCCTGTTCTCCTATGATTAAACACACATTCCCCAATATACTAGCAAGGTGGTATCCTTTCTTCAGATGAAAAGTAAGGTCTTCTTTTAGAACTTTGGTCATCTCCCTTGGTGTGCGGATGAGTTCACTTGTAGATGTGCTGTTTTTTCCTCTGCCTAAAGGAGTTTTGCATGCCTGTGGCATGGAGCCATCAAATGCAAACCGCGTGGCGTTACAGAGTCATAGAACCAGTTGTCAAGAGGGTCTTTTGAGTAGAAATTATTCAGCGACTTAATCCCCATGGCTGGGAGAATGGTTTCACCCAAATTGATGACTTTGAGATGCAGAAAATTAGTGAGGTTGCGGAAATACCTGACATTATGCTCTGTTTCATTCTCTACCAAAATGGCGAACTCTAGATCAGAGTATGGTGTCACCAATCCTGTGGCTTGTGACCCCAAGCCTATCATGGCGTACTTACAGGGAGGCGGGCCCATCACCTCCATACATTCATCTACAAGGCCAGCTATGAACATTTTTCGCTGGTGGGCAATCATGTCAAACAATGATTTGATTTCATCTGTTCTCCTTTTCTCTACTTCCCTTATCTTTGGATCGTCATCATCAAGACTGTAAGGATCTACCTCTCGCTCAATTCTTGTGATCTCCTCTTTTACAAAGTCTCTATGTTCCTCTAACTTCAACCTGTGTTTCTCTACATCACCAATGTCTACCTTTTGTTCAATATTCAGAACATGTTTTAAAAAAGACTTGCTTATTTCCTGGATAGCTTCCTTGATATCTTGCCTCCTACATCTTACCAGTGCTGCATTACAGAGTGCTGCAGCCTTGGTGAAGTCTCCACCGTCTTTAGTCTGGATTCCTCTCTTCAGGTATACATCGCCTAACTTGTAGAGAGGCTCTGCTTCCTTGCTGTATTGATCAAACTTTGAATCTGTAGAGAATGGTTATCAAATCTCACTGGTTATCAATTTCAGTTGTTATTTTTACTGTTAAATTTTTAATAAGTCTAACTTTCGAATATGCCAACCATGATCGTTAAAATATATCGCTGTCCTTTGCATGAAAACACTTTCTGATAGTTTGGTGAGGATAATCTTATCAAACGATACCGTATATCGTACTAAGGTACTCTGTTGTAACACGCTAGACGTGCATTGCATAACTAATTTTGCGGCTTTAGCAGAATAATAAGATGGGCCCTGCTACTATATGTATACAAAGAGATTGTTGAAAATATTTCTGAGACTCACATTTGACATGCACAGATTTGAGTGCGGCTGCGAAATGTTGTTCTGCCGTGTCCAGGTCCACTGTCTGCAGGGCCCTGCATCCCTCCTGTAGGTGGTCTTGGTATGAGCTGCAACAAGGGGATTACATACATACAAACAATCTTTCAGTATTTTTATACCTACAAGAAAAAGAGAAAACTTTCCCTTACATCACGCACAATATTTAATTCGATACCTGTTAATAAGACTACTTCAGAGAAAACAGTGGTGCTAGTGCGTTGTTTGTACTTTAAACCCAATAAATTAACGTCCGTTTTGCCACTAGTAAAAGATTGTATCAATTCTCTTACTAGTGAAAACGTATTTGCTAACAAAGTACAGGTTTCCCTACCTTTCAGCTGCAGTGTGTTTCTTTGGACGGTGGCCCACAGGTCTTTTGATGTTCCCAAACTGATGCCTCGTCGCTGATCCAATTCCTCTTGGTCTTGATTTGTTTGGTGATGATTGCTGAAATATTCAATGAATTGTACTTTTGCCATTCTCATTCTACACTTGTTGCATGGTGCATAGATTGGTACAAACATATCGTTTTACCTGTCTACATTGGGTCTATCGTAACTACGCTTGTCAAATTAGCAACTTAATATTGATGTCTTCAATTGGCCTGCTTGGTGAAATAATGTTGTTCACTGCTTTTCTGTTATTATACTTAATGTGTGTCCTTGCCCGGGTCACATACTGTTGGGTGGACACTGTTGACGTGAGAAAAGTTTTTACATGTTGTGGGCAGTGTTAGTCATGGCAAATTAGTTAAAACTACTCACCCTTCTAGCTCTCACTTTTCCCCACAGCTTCACCATGTACAAGACACGATGGTGCAGAGTTTGTTTCGTCTCCAGAGTCTCACATCTGGTCAGGGCCTTGCCGTACATTGCAGCT